AGGTAGCTAAGGCTATATATATTCACATCTGTGTAACTGAATTATTCATTCAATACAATTGTAAATCTTACAGAGGAAGTTTTCTCTTTCTATAAACATCTCAATAAAAAATTGACAGTAAACCAATCTCAGGCAGAAAACCAATCTCCTTATAGACACCACAAAAAATGAAAACTAAGTTTACCCAAATGAAAACAGTTTCAAAAATCTCACATCTCTCCTTTTTTTTCCAGATGGGATACACACTGAATGCAAAACCATGGCAGAACCCGTACTCGAATCAAATATATAGACATTCAAATAAACCTCTGGATTTCAGCACAGCTTCAAAAATTAGACAAACATAGATTCCAATTTCATCTTTTTCTGTTGGGTATCAAACACCACCAAAACTGAGGTCACCGACACACAAATAAGCACAGTGACAGTGTTCGGGACATATATAGAGCTCCAGAAATCGATTCGATTTGCTACTCTTAAGGACACTCAAGAAACCAAATCCCTAATTACTCAAGCAACCGGATTCAACATATCTCAACAAATTAAACTCAAATAAAATACAAAAAAAATTATAAAAAATCAAATGAAAATAATAAAGCTGCAAAATTGAGCAAAAGAAGTTCAAGATCCGATTGAAAAAAGTAGCAAGAGTATACCTTTTCAAATTGAAGGGATCCATTGACTGATGACAGACAAAAAAGTATGTCAATTTGTACCCAAACCGAATAAATCCATAAGAAATTACTCCATCACTTGAAGAAAATTCAAAATTACCATTTGAAATACCAGTGGTATAGCCTCTTGAGCTTCCAAGCCTGAAAATTCCAAAAAATATGCAATCTTTGAAACACCCATTTCAATTAAATATCAGAAGAATTTTCCTTTCCAATTCAAAGCTTTGAAAAAATTGAGAAATTCAAATTCTCAGTGACCAAGCAGGACATTTACCAATCAAGATCCTAAACCCACAAAATCAATCCTAAAACGAAACCTAATTAAGTACTATGTACATATATAACATGTTAGCTTTCTACTTTTAAGAAAAATTATTAAATTGGGGAAGTGATCAAATGGGATGGGTCTTCCCTATTAAGCAGCAGGATTAATTCCAACAAAAGAAACAATGTGATCAAGATCAAGAACAATGCATGCAACAAAGTTACAGAGAGAGGGTGTGTGGAAATTAGCAGGGTGGTAGAATTCCATACATAGAGATCCTGAGTGATGTTGGAGATCTCTTCCTTAGCTTTCTTAGAAACCCAAAAGCTCCAACGCAAGATTTCAGCATACGAACTCCTACCCAGTCAACCTCACACAAAATTAGTTCAAAATTAAACAGCTAGTCCCCAAATTAACAAAGAAAGAGACAAAAGTGTTACTGAATAGAATTAAATTGCAGTATCAATAGACTTCAATATAAACCATTTACCCTGAAAAAACACCTCAACCATGAATAGAATTAAAGTGTAAGTGAAATAATATTTTGTACAATAAATATATAAGGGATATACATTACAGATATACATGATGCATAAAGTCTCCCATGTTTTTGAAATGATAACGCTGCAAATCCAAGATATATGGCCAATTAATTGTTCAACCGCTAATGGATCGCTGGATATTCTTAGCTGCCTTTGCAGTTCGTGTTTGTCATATTCAAACACAACTCAGGAAAAATAAATATAAACACAAAGAGAGAAGAAGATATAAGACAATTACCTATTTAGTGAGTTCTTGAACCTATTTAGAGAGCATTGGAATGAAATGAAGCCAACTCTGCAACAGAGAAACAAAGGAAAAAGTCAAAATCCAGAAATCCAAGTTTAACTCGATCAAATATAATAACCAATGAAGGTTGCAAATTGCAAATTCTCGCAATGTAGACAAAGAAATTTGTTTCTCACCTAAGTTGCTCCCTTCTTGGGATCCAAATTTGAAGAAGGCCGATGGGGAGGGGCAGTTATAAGTGTCATCCTCTTTGTTTCTCCTATCCCTGCATTGTCGACCAAAACAACATCAAACCAAGAGCAATACAATCCAATGTAATGCTCACAAAATTTGAAATCCAAACAAAGTCACAGGTGGACAATCACCTAATCGATCATAACACCATTCGCAAATATGAAAAACATAAACAATTAAGTCAGCAACATGATATGCCATTCCTTTCATACAATCATAGATTGCAATTCATATAAGCCACATTATTCACAAACAATTAAATCATCATCATCATCATGAATTAGAGTGTAACATGAACACCATCAATTAAAAAAGATAGAGCTACAAGGCAATAAACATACAGAGAGGAACTGCTTTAGATCCTTCCCAAAAGCAATCTTCCGCAGAATAACAAAAGAGCAGTTGATCTTTGATCTAATTGCAGACACAATCTGCAGAATCAACTTCTATGGAATTTGAACTTGTGAAATGTGGGGTGGAGACCTGAATGTAACAAATTGGTGTTAAGTGGATAATTCCAAACATATAAAATTTAGACCATCAAACTCGAATGCAAACAGAACAATTAAATAAAGAATCGAACGCATACGCAATCTAATTAGACAAATAAGTGAAATTTCCCATGCCGAAATCTGCAAGGCCAACAGAAACCTCTCATTACAGCACATAAGACAAAACTTAAATGACACAACTTAAAAGACAAAACTTAAAGGACACAACTTATAACTAATCAAAATTAGGTGAACCAATTGAAGAGAACATAACCCTTGTAACCAATTGGGAAAAGATGCTTTAAAATCCTAGAAAAAAAAAAATTAAGAGGAGTTTTTAGAAAACCATTATTTCAATTATTTTACAGTCTTACATTTGGGATTAAACAGAAAATATAACTAAAAATGCCAACTTTCTCAAAAAAAAAAAAAAAAAAAAATACTACAACTATTTTTACAAATTTCCATCACCCAACGCTGAAAAATGAGAATCACAAAGCAACGAAGAACGGAACACGCGAAAACCGAAACGTTAAAAACAATACATACCCATTTCAAAGACCAAAAATCCTGCAAGGACAAAAAAAATCCAAGAAAATTGGTACATCAGCACTCCCTGCAAAACCCAAAAATCAGAAAATTAGAAAAAGAATCCAAAATCAGTGGCATGGTCCTCGTTTCTCCATTAATCAGTAGCTAATGACCTAATGAAAAAGAACCCAAAACAGACTGCTTAAATTATGGAAAGTGCTTATAAAGCTCACAAATAACTTTCAGAGCCTGCATAGAAATGGTATAGAGCAGATAATAACAACAGACAATAAAACTATGCACAGTTTAACCTAAATCTGATATGTTCCATTTCACACACACACACACAACAGATATGTCTACATATATATATATATATATATATATATAGATATATAGATGACCCACAGAGGTTAATACCATGCGGAGGTGTGCATGCGCACACACATAAAATATACATGCATACTTAATTTTTCAGACAATAATACTTCACAACATAAGTTGCAAGCTGGGACCATTTAGTTGACTCAAAAGAAATTGATGGGTTAGAAAAAGGACAAAAAAATAATATATATATATATATATATATATATATATATATATACACACACACACAACGACGGATGTTCTTATGTCGTTCTCCTCTTACGTCGACAAAACATACACACTTGTGTTTTAATGCTCCAATACTCATTGAGAAGGCACCAGGCAAGAAGAAGCTCAAGGTTGGAAAGAAGCTTCCAAAGAGAACAATCCATAAAGCAGACCACAAAAATTAGACAATACCCAAAAACCAAACGGTAAAAAAAAAAAACCCTAAGATGAAAAAATAAATAAATGAATAAATAAATTTGCAGAAATGTCATATAGCTTGTGCCCTAACATATCCAAGTTGTCGTACATCCTCGAGCCTTTGTGTTCATATGTGCTTCCTCAAATTTAGTGTAAACCTCCAAAATAAACTGCAAATATTCTAGAAATGGTAAAATGAACTGCAAACCCATCAATCATTCCCCAAAATGAACTCTAAATCACAAATGAGAACTCATCAGGAAAGCAAGGCTTTTCTGGGCTTAAAATTTCCTTCAAATTGTGACCAAATTCATGGTTTTTCAGCTAGAGGTCGTTGTGCTTCGTAGCTTCTGTGGGAGAGAATCGAAGAGATTTCTAACGGCTTGGTGGTTTTTGAGCTCCTTGGTGATTTCTGAGAGAGAAGGTGAGGAGAGAAAACGGAGATGGAAGCAGAGTTGAGGCTAAGTCGTAGAAGCAGAATCGCTGGCTTCCACGATCAACAAAAAAAGAATCGTTGGTGGTTTTTGAACTGTCGATCATCAAGCATAACCGCACAACCCCCGGCCACGATCCCTATGCCTCCCCCTCAAAATCTCGACGGTCCCCATGCTTTTCTTTGACTGTACCCCCTCTTCCACTCATGAAATTGAGGATCCCCACTCCCATTTCTCCTTTTTTCTCTGTCGCTTCATCTCCCTTTCCCTGTCTCTCTATCTCGAATCTCGATCCCAGAACGGCATGGCCTCCCATCCCGAAACCCTCACTGAACGAAGAATGAAGAGGAGGAGGCAATTTTGTAAATGAAGCAAAATTTGGGCTGAAATCAGCCCCGTGGTAAGCTCATAAATAAACTGAAATGTACCCAAAATTGCACAGTGCCACCTTCCCCTCCTTACCGTTGGAGATGGTCTTAGACTAAGGTAATGTTTTGGGAATGTCATTGTTAGGATCCTGGCTGAGTGGACAACTGTTAATCCTTCTTTTGTGTTATTTTGTCCTTTCCTGGAAAAGGTTGGTTTCATCCAACGGTAGAACAAGTGGTGATGTGTTCCAATCGTGAGCATTCCCATTTCTAGGGTTGTATATAAGCTCTTTTCACTATTTGGGGAAGGTATGAATGAAATCAAGATGTTTTAGTTATTTCTTTCCCTCTTCCCTTTACTTTATGCACTGTTACATTCTGTGATCCTATCATCTAGTATCAGCGACAGGTTGCTACCATCCATGGGCAAAAGCAAGGCCTCCGTGGTAGTAGCCGACGTCACGGACGTCGACCTAGAGTTGGAGTACCAACAACACCAGATCTTGGAGCAGCTCCAGGGGTTCCATGACTCGGTGTCTCTGCTAGCTACTCGTCAAGAGTCATTCCAGTTGAAGCTGACGGATATCCAAGCTTCATTGGCTAATATTAGCCTTGTCCAGCACCATCTGATGGAGGAGATTCGAGCCTCTAGGCCACCACCGCCCTCTACCCCCCATTCCACAGATCTCGATTGGGTCTTTGCATATTCACCTGGGTTCTTCTTCTACCCCGCTTCCCCAACCCTCCCAACCCACCCCGTTACCCCACTCCACCCAACCCCCTTCCTCAGCCCCGCCTCCAACTTGGGGCACCCATTTTGCCCGTTCCCCCTCTCCCATATTCCCTACCCCCCTCAGCCGCTTACACACCCTCCTCACCATTCCTTTTCACCATCACCACCACCATTCGTCCCCACCTTCCCCCCACTTTATTTCCCATGCCCCTCCACCCTCCCTACACCTTAGGCTCACTGCCTGCCATGACCGGCCCTAAACACATGAAGATTAAGCTCACCCGATTTTCTAGGGACGATCCGTATAGTTGGCTGGCCCTTGTCGGAGAGTACATGGACTATCACGGTGTCGAAGCGACGCATCGGGTCACCATTGCCGGGCTCCATTTCATGGGTGATGCTGCCCTTTGGTTAAAATGGTACAAACTTCATATTGGGTTTGGGCTTTGGACCACTTTTACAGAGTCTCTTCTCCAATGGTTTGGGCTCGGAGACCAATTGGACTTTAACATGTCCTTTTCCCATGTTTTACAAAAGGGCTCGCTAGAGGATTACATCAACGACTTCATCCATTTATCATGTCGGGCTCAAGGCTGTCTGATTCCCAACTCTTAAGCGTTTTCATTGGTGGGCTCAAAGTGGAACTGTAGGATGATATCTTAGCCCAGGGGCCTTGTTCTTTGTCTCGGGCTATTGAACTTGCCTGCATCTATGATAACAAACACAATAGACGCCGTGGCTATTTTCGCCCTTTTTTGCTCGCTCATCCTTTACCAACCCGAGTTCCTCTTCCTCCCTTCCCCCGCCCAAACATGGACCACCCTCTTCAGCGTGGCCACCTTTACGCCTCTCCCTAGGGAAAGTTTAGGAACTTCGCTCCCGTGGCCAATGCCTCTATTGCACAGAGAAGTACTTCCCTAGCTATACATGTGTAATGCCACATTTACTTCTCCTTGATGCCGCTGTAGTCTTCGAAGCTGCTTTTGCAACACCGGCCGATGACCTCTTGCCGGCTTCTGATGACCCCCTCTTGGAGGACACCACCCCCATCACTTTCAACGCCTTGGAGTCCCCTAAATGCACCCGTGGGCGTGCTATGCGCCTCCTGGGCCACATTAGGGATCTACCCATTCGAGTTTTCGTTGACTCCGGGGCTGACCTCAACTTCCTCAACCCTTCCGTCGCCACTCGTCTGGGCCTCTGCATTGATCATTCCCTTATTGAGCTTATCATGGTTGTGAACGGCCGCCTCTGTTATACCACAAGTCTTACTTTCAACTTATCGGTCCAGTTACATGATTACTCCTTTTCCTCGAACCTCCGTCTTCTACCAGTAGTAGGGTCTGACCTGGTGCTTGGAGCTGAATGGTTAGAGACCTTAGGCTATATTGGCTGGCACTTCAAGAACAAAATTATGGAATTTCAAGTTCTTGGTAGTAATTACCGCTTACATGGGCTCCGTTCCTCGAACCCCCTGCCCTCTCCTGTCTCCTCACAGGTCGACTTTCGCGTCATGGTTGCCTCCCTGATGAAAGCTCATTCACACCTTGATGGCCCTTCTCCAACACCACCCCTGCTGAAGCCGATCATGAGCACCTAGTCAGATCTCTTCGAGCTTCCAACGGGTCTCCCTCCTCAGCGGCCCATTGACCATCAGATTACATTGTTGTCAAACACTCAACCGGTGAATGTTCGTCCCTATCGCTATGCCCATGCTCAAAAAGCAGAAATGGAATGTCAAGTGACAAAGATGCTTGCTGCAGGTGTTATCTACCCCAGTTCGAGTCCTTTCTCTTTTCCAGCTCTCTTAGTTTACAAGACCGACGTCACTTGGCTCTTTTGTGTGAATTACCAAGCCCTTAATTTGGTCACTGTCAAGTTCCCCTTCCCCGTCCCCGACATTGATGAACTACTTGATGAACTATGGGGTGCTACAATATTCTCTAAACTGGACCTTAGATCTGGTTTCCACCAAATCAGGATGCATGAGCCGAATATTCCAAAAACTGCTTTCCACACGCATGACGGACACTTCGAATTTCTGGTGATGCCCTTTGGGTTGTGCAATGCCCATTCGTCATTTCAGGTCCTCATGAACTCCATCTTCAAGCCTTTCATACGAAAATTTATCTTGGTTTTCTTCGACGATATTCTCGTCTTCAGTCCCAACATGCAAACATATTTCTCCCATTTTGGTTTTTGTCTTCGAGGTTCTTCGTGCTCATGCCTTGAAAGTCAAAGCATCTAAGTGTTCTTTCGGCCAACCAACAGTGGCCTACCTTGGGCACATTATCTCAGCCGCTGGAGTGGCAGTGAACTCTCAAAAGGTGCAATGCATTTTGGCTTGGCCTCCGCCTCGAACCATCAAAGGCTTACGAGGATTTTTGGGACTAGTGGGCTACTACCGCAAATTTGTTCGCAACTTTGGCTTACTGGCACGCCCCCTGACGGATCTTTTGAAAAAAGATAACTTTCATTGGTTTCCGGCGGCAGACTCGGCGTTTTTAGCCCTCAAGATCGCTCTTGCTTCCACACCGGTCTTGGCTCTCCCGGACTTCAACCAGCCATTCACTATCAAATGTGATGCTTCCGAGACAGGCATCGGGGCTGTTCTCTCCCAAAATGGCCACCCAATTGCCTTCTTGAGCAAGTCGTTGGCAGCCAAACATAAAGCTTTATCAGTATATGATAAAAAGATGATGGCTATTGTCTTTGCAGTAAAAAAGTGGCGCCCCTACTTGCTCGGTCACCCATTCAAAATTCTCACAGACCACCAAACTTTGAAGTACTTCCTCAATCAGCAGATCACCACACCTACTCAACAAAAATGGCTTCTCAAGTTACTCGGTTACAACTATACACTTAACTACCGACCGGGTTTTTCAAACATGGTTGCAGATGCTCTGTCTCGACAACACGAGTGCTTGGCTCTTATGGGCCTTTCCCAACCTATCTTCGAAAGTTTCTCAGAGATACAAGCCGAATAAGATGCTGACCCGGAGGCCTCCGCTATTCTCCAACAACTCCACAACACCCAACCTACGCGCCTTCACTTTTCTCTTCAGGGTAACCTACTTTACTACAGGGATGGTATCTTTGTGGTAGCTACTTCTCCCTAGTGCACTCGCATTTTACAGGAATTTCACTCCTTACCCATGGCATGCTACTCCGGCTTCCTACGAACGTACAAACGGGTGCGTGGAAATTTTAATTGGCTTGGTCTTAAAAAGGCGATCAAGTCCTTTGTGTCCACCTGCGATACTTGCCAGCGCAACAATTATGAAGCCATCAAACCACCGGGTCTACTCCAACCACTGCCCATTCCTTCACAAATATGGACAGACATCGCGATGGATTTCATTGAAGGTCTTCCTCAAACTCACGGACGCAATGTAATATTCATCGTCGTTGACCGTCTCTCCAAGTATGCCCACTTTATTCCCATCAAACACCCTTATTCTGCCGTTAAGGTGGCTGACATATTTATCTGTGAAGTGTTTCTCTTACATGGCATGCCTGCTACTATCATCAGCGACAGAGATCCCGTGTTCATCAGTCATTTCTAAGAGTCTTTCTTTAAACTCAACGGCTCTCAGCTATGCCGCAGCTCGGCCTACCACCCCCAATCTGATGGCCAAACGGAGGTTTTAAACCATACCTTAGAACACTACTTGCGTAGCTTTGTGGGTGACAAACCCAGCTCCTAGGTTGAATGGTACCTTGGGCGGAATGGTGGTACAACACCACCTATTACTCAGCTACCCAACTCACTCCCTTCGAAGCAATTTACGACTACTCTCCACCACGGGTCTCCACATACTTGCTAGGCTCCTTCCCTGTCCACCTTGTCGATACCCAACTGAGAGACCGAGACACATTACTCCGCCTCCTCCGAGACAACTTACAGCTTGCTCAAGATTGCATGCGCCACTATGCCAACCAAAAACGCTTAGAGCTAGAGTTTCAAGTAGGTGATTAGGTTTTCCTCTAACTCCAACCTTGTCGCCAGTCCTCCGTCAACCACAACAACTACCCCAAGTTGGCTCCCCGATTCTATGGCCCATACAAAATCATTGCTTGTGTCGGCAAAGTCGCATACACCTTGGACTTACCTTCGGACTCCCGCATCCACCCCACTTCCATGTCTCTCTCCTTAAACCCAAGGTCGGGTCTACTGTGGTTGCCTCCTCCATGCTTCCCCCTATCTCAGATACAAGTATAGTGGCTTGGATGCTAGAAAAAATTCTGCAGCGTGGCATGTTCAAACGTGGTAACCATGCTATCACACGATGGCTTATCAAATGGGCGGGCTTACCAAAACACGATGCTACGTGGGAAGACGCGGGCACCATCCTCGAGCGCTTCCCCGCCTTCAACGCTTGAGGACAAGCTTCTTCTTAAGGGGCCGGCATTGTTAGGATCCTGGCTGAGTGGACAACTGTTAATCCCTCTTTTGTGTTATTTTGTTTTTTCCTGGAAAAGGTTGGTTTCATCCAATGGTAGAACAAGTGGTGATGTGTTCCAATCGTGAGCATTCCCACTTCTAGGGTTGTATATAAGCTCCCTTTTACCATTTAGGGAAGGTATGAATGAAATCAAGATGTTTTAGTTATTTCTTTCCCTATTCCATTTACTTTCTGCACTGTTACATTCTATGATCTTATCAGTCATTCGAGAATAGAAGGATATACATACCTTGATTGAGCAGGAAACATCACTAATATTAGATCCACATCTGGATATTTACTTATATGAGAGGAAACTTGGTTACTTGGTGTGGTAAAAAGTAAAAAGGTGTGGTTTTGTCTAGTGTTGAGGTTGAGTTCAGAGGAATGGCGAAAATATATGGTTAAGAAAATTACTCAACAAAATTGGTTTTCTACCTGGATCATCCATGAATTTGTATTGTGATACTACATCTACGATTGATATATCTCATACTTCAGTTCAACGTGATCGTACAAAGCATGTCAAAGTGAATAGGCATTCAAGGAGAAGTTTGAGGCACATATTATTCAATGTCCATATGTGAAGTCTAAAGATCAATTGGCAGATACTTGATTAAGGTTGTAGATAAAAAAAAGTTCCATAACTTGATTAAGGAGAGTGTAGGCATGAGTCCCATTCAATGTAGAATTGCAATTATCACATTATTATTCTACTATAAATAAAATAAGAGTGTGGCCATTCAGTACTACGGTCTGGTGGTATTCATCTTTACTTGTAAGTGAG